CACTTCTTCATGCTCACTGTTGTTGTTCAGAAATTTAGAGGCGAACAAACTCTCTTTCAAGCTGCATCCCCAAAGTATAGATGAGTTATTTCCTTAACAACAAGATACTTACAAGGTATTAAATGTATTTTATAAATCAATATGAGCACACTCATCAAAAAAAAAATTTAGTACTCACACTCCAAAAGCACGTGCTCGACATTACAAGGTATTAAATGTATAAGTTAGTACCTATTGTAATATTGTTTGTGTTTTATTACTTCAATAAAAGTGAGAAATAAAATTTTTAAGAAAAATGAAAATTGTTAGTACTCACACTCCAAAAGCTGGTGCTCGACATTAAAGAATAAGTACAAACATATATTTTAGCTTGTACTATTGCTTTATGATTTTAGTTCGATTTTCTTAGAATTTCCCCCATATTTATTTGTCATCTTTTAGCCTCCTTTTCTATATTTGTCTCGTGTTTACTTTTCATGTCTATTTTAGATGTTTAAGCTTTTATTATTAGCTTTTCTATTTATCCTATACTCATTTTGTTCTTTTACTACATGTGTAGGAACTAAAGTCTTAGAAATACTTACAGAGAGGAATCCATGCACTCATAATAAAGGAAGGAGAAAGATCCCTTATCGTCGCTTTCATTGAGGTTGAATAGAGTAGAATATCGCCAACTCAATTGCATGGGTGCAAGATAATGAAGGCAAATATCAAGAATCAAGGAAGAATGTTTTGTGTGCCACAATGCGGCTCCAGCATAGGCACGCAAGATTACTGAACATTTATGCAACTCTAGGTCTAGGTTCCACACCCAGCTCGACACGAGCGCACATCCCTTACTTGATTGCTTGTAAAATGGATTATTTTTATATGATTTTTGGCTTTTCTTCCTAACTTTGTTACTACTATAAATAGCTATATATTTTCCATTTTTAGTAACTAAATTTTAACTAGGGTTATGATTTAATTTCTGTAAATTTTAGAGAGAAAGTGTAGAATCAACTATTCATTTTTCATTTTTCAATCAATTTAAGTTCAATTTCAATTGCCAATTAAACTCTAGTAAAGTTTCTTCCTTTTACTTTCATTTCTGATCCTACTTTAAAGTTGTTGTTTGATAATATTGATTATTGTTAATTTTTATGATTTTGGTTAGTGATTTAGGTTACTTGCTTAATTCCTTAGCTTAATTGCATTATTGAGTAATGATGATAATCTTGATTACTTAAGTGCTTGATTTTCTCTTAATCATGAGTAGTCGATAATCATGAGTATGAGATTTGCATGTAGCTTATATTGATTGGATTGGCCTCCCTTAATTTTAAGCATGAATGCAGGTTTTAATTTGATTGACCGGAAAATTGATGTTTATTTCATCATAGTTGGTTGAGAATTTAAGAATTTGGTCATGTTTCCTCCTATTTATGTTACCGTGTAGGAACTCATGTTAGATATTCTATGAATTACTAATTAGATGCTCCTACTTCTTTACTATGATTTGATTGCTTAATTTCCAAATTAGCTTGATGATCATGAACTCATGTGGATCCCCATTTGGTAGAGTTTATTAATTGTTTATTCCTAGCTAGCTTGCTAGGTTAACATTTCTTTTATCTTTGTTTTAGTTCAACTCTTCAAATCTTAATTTTGTATTTTTTTTAGTCATTAGTCATTTACAATTCTCACTACCTGTCCTTGTGGATAGACGTCTTGCTTGCACAAGTACTTGTATTAAATTAGTTTGCACTATACTAGTATTAGTTTGAGTTTAATATATTTGTTTGACAGCTAAGTGTTAGAAAACGAACTAATTTCTAGCATACTGCTCTGAAGTGTATATTATCACAATCTACTTTTCCTTTCTCCCCAAGTCGCAAGTGCATATTTTAAGTGGTGAGGGCTTCTTTGACAAAGAAGTGATGGGGATGCAAGAACCATGTCCCACAAACCCAACAACTTGCATGCATAAATCTATCTTCTAATATAATCAAGTCCTTACATTGTAATTATTTATAAACAAAACTCCCATGAACAAGGTCAATCTCGTTTCAAAACTTAGTCATGAAGTTTTTAACCTACAACAATTATTGAATTGAAGTACTTACTTGAAAGCAAAAAACTTTACAAGCTAAGTGCAAAAAGATATTGTACCTAGGAAAATTTATGTAGTGAGATCCTAAAAAAAAAAAATCTACTTCGCTTAAGAACAACATAAAAAGAGTGAAAGGATAGTATTTTGTGGCTCCCATATAGTAGCTAGATAGTTGGTTACATTTTCAATGTTATTCTTTGTTCTAATTATTTTGTATCTTTTTAATTTTTATATATTTTGTTTAGTGTTGTAAAGGGATCAAAATGGATATAAACTGTTTTTTCTATCCATTGATTAAGATCTGTCTTAAAAATGATTTAATTTGGCTATAATATATGAAAAACCAAAGCTACCTAATGCCATTATTTCTTGCCATTATATGTTGATCTAGTTTTATGAGTAGAACTAAATTGCACAACTAATTGTTAATTATTTATGCATAATAATTTTTAATCATTTAGTTATTTCAAGTTTCAAATCTCAATATCACAGAACTAGGTCAGAATTCATCCGATGCACAATTTCAAATGAAACCTTCAACATTTTATACAATAACTGATTTATCGTTTATGTAATTACACAACCCATATGAAAGGGAATTTTGGGGGAAGAGAGAATGCTTATAAATGTATTTTTCGTTAACTGCTATTTGCATATATACTACTGTTTTCTCCATTAATCAATTCAATCCATAAATGTTGAAGGAAAAAAAAAGGGAAAGAAAATTATATGATTTTATAAGTAAAATTTTGTGGATAATTTTAATGTCTTTTATATAATGATCATTTGACTGTATAAAACATTAAAATATTTTTTTATCATCATGAAACGCACTTAATGGTGGAGACTATAGGTTATGTAAGCAAATAATTACTCCCATAGTTTTTTTTTTCATTTTCGTGTTACACATTTTGTAGTTTTCAATGCATACCTTTTAGCACATGTATTACCGAATATATACTATGTCGCAAAAACAAAAAAAGTATAGATGATAGTGGAAGACGATAACAAAAAAAAGACAATACATAATATTATAGCTTCAAACTTATTTTTAAGCTTTAAGAATAATTAATATTGGTGCATTTCTAACAAAAAAAAAAAAAAGATACTCTTTGGTAATAATTAGTTTTTTCTTTCTCTTTGGTAAAATATAAAAGAAAAACAAAAATTATCATTGAGAATTCTATATTTTTGTTACTATATCAACCATGACATTAATGAAATAAGAACACGATTATTACCGTTCAAAAACAAAAAAAAAAAAAAAAAACAATTATTAGCCTAAATATTGTTAACCATGGTTAACAAAAGATAAAGTAATACAAATACTCTTACAAAAATTTTCCAATTACCCACCAGCTACTAAAGATACATCCCATGTAGAATTGTATAAACTTACGGCTTAACCTTTCATTAATTGGAGCAAAACATATATATACAATGCTAATTCCTAGAGATACCTTAATTAGGTTACTAGAAATTAGGAAACAATATGAAAGATAATACCAAATATTCCACAAAATATATCACACAAAATATATCCGCAATATCCCACCATTGCAACGTTCACTATCAGGTCCATCACCCCAAAAAAAACACCACTTCCCATCCCAACATCCATCTTGAACACACCGCAAATCGCACCCATCCCTTAAAATAGCGGAACATCCAACCGATCATCACCAAAATACAACACTACTAATCTTATACCCACTCGAACCTATCCCATCCACCCACCCCCACACCCATCCCCGAAAATAGCACCGCCCCCAATTTCTACCCAATAGCACCGCCCCTAGTTTCTACCTAACAAAAAATGCCTCTTTTCAACCTATAATTAAAGCACCATTAAGTCATAAAATCGTCGAAACTACCACCCTGCCACAATAAAACCCTTTACCCACTCTAAACCAACAACCTTTATACAAAAACTCATAACCCCATAATATTTGAAAAAAATATCACAAGGAAGGCCCCGTTTGGTTTAATGTAAAACATTTTCAACGGAAAACTAGTTTTCATGGAAAACATATTTTCAAGGAAAACACACAATTGCAAATTAGTTTTTCTTTGTTTGGTTGCATACAAAAAAATCCAAGAAAAATAAAAAAATAAGAGTGGAAATGTAAGGATGAATGAGAGGGAAGTAAAAAAAGAGGTAAGGCGGAGAGAGGAAAATGTGGCTTCCCTTGTTTTTTGAAGGAAAATGTTTTCCATCATTAAAGGATGGAATTTTCCACCCTTGAAAATTATTTTCCACTCCTTAACAAACCAAACAAAGGGAAATGGAAAAAAATAGAAAATTCATTTTCCATGAAAACATTTTACATCAAACCAAACAGGGCCTAAGAATAAAAACAAACATTTTACTATCAACACTTATAGCCTTTAACAAAATCAAATTCGACCATAACAACTATAGATCTGGAGTATTTTTTGTCAAATTTGGCTTGTGAAACTCAAATTTCAACATGGTGGTGCATCTGTAAGGTGTCGTAGCGGTAACGAGGGGCAGTATGGAAGGAATGGGCAAGTGGGTCAGTAAGGAAGAAAGGGGTGATGCGGCACTGGGTGTGTAAGTGAACCCACGAGGGAGATGTGGGTTATGGTGGTGAATTGGTGACTTTGGTTAAGGAAAGAGGAAATAAAAATGATTAGGGAATTAACGTGAGCAATTATGTAATTTCATTTTAATTTTGTCATTAACAACTTAGTCATGGTTAAGAAGATAGTAAAAATTGACATTAGTGTTATAACTAATTAACAATAAAAATATATGACTACCAAAGATAATAATTTTTTAACATTTTAACAAAGAGAAAATGAAAAACTTTGTGTAACCAAAGAGAATTTCAAAAATATGAAAATAAATATGAGTAAAGCAATATTGAAGAAAGAGATACTTAACTTGAATAATTGCATCTAGTCTGGAGTGAATTCTTACAAATTCATAACGAATTTCATTCAAAGACAATAGACACCTGTAAAATGAACATATTATATGTAAGACATCATATCCATTTTGTATTAATAAGTAAACATAATGTTTAAGTATCTAGGTTACATATTTCGACAAAAGCTAAAAATAAATCGTTTTAGATATTAAAGACATTACAATTTTTTTTTTTTTTTTTTTTTTTTTGTTGGTGTTCAATTCATTAAATATCACTTATTTACTTCTTTTCTCCCTAACTTTTTTTTTTCCTATCCTAGCCTTCACTACCGAATTACTTAGGAAGTTTTTTGGACCACAAATAAATTAATGATTTAATTCTCTAGTTTTCTCTTTTTTTTTTTTTTTTTTAATAAATCTTGTTCCTTCTTTGCAAGGGATGATTTTTTTTATACTTCATATTATCAAAGATGACTTTTTTTGACATCTTTGGGAGTCATAATTTTTATTTTTACACTTTATAAGTACATTAATTTGATGGATTAATGTTGTAACACTAAATCATTGGTAAGGAATTATGTGGGATCACAATATATCATATACGATAACTAGATTAAATTACATATGTTCAATACCAACTACGAAAAAGGTTTTATATTCTACGTTTTTTGTACGAGATTTTGTGTTTCAAGATCCATGTAAGATATATGAATTGTTTTTATAAAAGAAACATTAATATGATTAAATATGTGATTAATTATAAAATTTGTATTTCTCTTGTAGATATATTATAAAATTTATATTAATAACGAAGTAGATAAAATATAAAAATAAGAATAGAAAAAATATTTTAATTGATTTCCAAATATTATTTATACTTATTTTTTCTAATATTGTTTCAATTTTTTAGTCAAAATATCGTTATAAGGAAAATGCATAATAATTTTTATCCAAATAGTATGAAGTTATTAAGTTAATAATTAGTCAAATTAAATTGGTACAATTTTAATTTTTTTATTTAATTATATTGTTCTATTATATAGGATTTTATTACTAACTTATTTAATAAAAAGAAGAAATTTTTATTTTTAACACCAAAAAAAAAATCAATTTTTTTTTATTACACACTTCCAAAAATTTTGTTTTACTGCAAAAACTAAACCTAAAAACTTGTTTAGCGACCACTCAATAGATTCCATCCAATAATCCATTAATAGAACCCACCTATCCATGTGTCACTAATATATTGGGTGAAAAAAAAGGAAACCTAAAAAAATCAATCTAAATACCTTAACGTCGGCACCCTGTACCCTTAATCTCTAAACACCTTTTTCCCAACCTAGGCCAACATTGAAATCCGTCTCCTTCCTTTTTCTCCACCTAAAACCAACCTTTCACTACCCTCCACCTCGAAATCACCCTATTCCTCTCCCCACCCCCTAAATAACTAGAATCAACCTCGACAATTTGAGCTCACAACCTCGTAAAAGAACCTAGTAAAAATGGTCAATTCTGATTTTATTTTTATAACAAGCTTTACAATTGTGGCAAATTATTATTTTTAATTTTTTTTGTTGTCGTAAACAAAAACTCTGACAAGTTTGATTTTTAAAAATTTTATGAGTTTTGGCTGTAATAAATAATCTTAGTTTTTCTTATAGGTGGTTAAAGTCAAATATCCAAAAATAAATATGTGATTCGTCCTTTCATGGTGCAATAAATGTTTTTCTCCACTAGTAAATTGAAATTACCAACCTTGCCCTTGTACTAACTCAAAACACAAAATGGAGAAAAAATAAAATACACCAAATAATTAGTAACCCTAAATCTAAATTTAAATTTTTTATTCCAAAACAAGATCCCATAAAAATATTGTGATTTTTTAATAAGGGTGAAAGACATGTGTAGACTAGACCCAATCTTATCAATTTTGTTCTCTAATGATGAAAGATAGGTTGGACTACTTTAACATTTCTTAGTATCATGGTTTCACACATGTTTATAAATTTTGGTTTGTCTTTTGTTTTTATTTATATTTGAGGGAGTATGTGTGGATAATAAAAACATTTTTAAGGTCTACTCACTATATGTTTTTAATCTGTTTCACAAATCTAATCACTTTACTTAACTCCTTTTATGTCAAGTTTTTATACATTCATTTTTTTTTTTTGTTATCAACAATCTCACGTTGTCAAGACAATTGTCTTAAACAAATTGCATACTTAAGAGAAAAGTAATCACATGTAGGATCCATATCTTCATAATCTTTCCTTGGTTTTCTTTGTTATTGATTTGAATCTAGGAACATAGTGGTTGATAGTAATAGCTAACAATCTATAAGAATTCTCTTTATTGCTTGATGTAGTTTTCCTTTATATAATTTAAGACAACACACATACATGTGTTAATTATCTCTAAATTAAATTTAAAATTATACTAACATGTGAAAAAGGGAAAAGTACATTGTCGTATTATTTATGAAGGCTAAGCGTGATTTAAAAAATAAATAAAATCATACCAAAGCCTCATCACTAATCCCAAAACAGAAATCTGTAAAACATTTAATGTAGGATTTAATGATATATACTCTTCATGTACACAAAACATTTCTTTCAAACTAACGTCTCATTCTCATTGTATGAAAAAATATTTTTGAAATAAATAAACTTTAATTTATAAACATATATTTTAACTGGTAAAAATAATTAAACTTCAACATATGGTAATTTTTTTTAGGAAAAATCATATCTCCAAATTACATATAACATATATCATGAAGTGAATTAAAACAGCTAATAAAAGTCGGTTTAATTGACATGAATAATTTAAATTAAGTAAGATAAATCATACTTTAGCAAAAAAAAAAAAATATTTATAGAGAATCATTGAAAAGAAAAAAAAAATTAAATTATGGAGATAAGCAAAACCAAACTAGAGCCTCGTATACAAAACCAAAAAAAAAAATTAAGTAGAGAAAAAATTATTAGTAGTAAATAAAACTGTTAAGTAAAAATTAGTGATATAGACTTAAAGTTAATTAGTAGTCAATCCAATGCGTCCCTGATACTCAATTAGGTATAAAAGGGTACACACTTCTTCAACCTTGAAATATTTCTCCACTGAAAGGTTAGGGTAAAAAATTATCATGTATTTCAATTAATCTATAAATTACATTATTGTCATTTGAAATATTTTTGGATTCATTTCAATGTACATTTTTTTTAGCAATTTTTCTTAAATATAAACATAAAAATAGAGATGTTTACCATTTAAGATGCTACTTGAAGACAGTGAAAACTTAAACAAAACAACCTTTAAGGGATGAAGGTAGTTATATTATCAACTTGATTGCTCCAAAAGTCATTTTTCATTAACAGTCTTTAATTTTCATTAAACAAAAATTCCTTATTATTTTATCATATATTATTTGTCCAAATTTTATTCCTTAAATAGTTATATAGCATCGAAATCTATACATTTCCAATAATTATAATTAAAATGTTATTCAATTAACATTTTATCTTGGCAAATTTTGTCTTAAAATTTATTAGATGTATCTTTACTTGAATCATGTATCATTGATGTGGAAAATAATAAATGGGAGAACTTACATGGAAGGAGATGTTGGGTTCACTGAGGATAATTTATTTCAAAAGAATTGGTTAAAACTCATAAAAAACTAGTTTTGTTCTCTACAAATTTAGTTTGATAAATTCATATAGAAGAGCAAAATTTTAAAAGAGAAGTTTATTTTGTTTGTTTTCAAATTCAATGCTGATGGGTGTCATAAATGGAACTCAATTGATGAGTAGGTTGTTTTCTTCCTCTTTTCATAGCTTTCATGCTCAATAAATGCCTAGTTTTATGCATTTGGTCTTGGTTTTACCTTTCCTCTCAGCTTTTGTGCATTTTGTTGGTTTTTCTACTCTATTCTCTTTTATTTGCTCTATTTTCGTGGTTGTAGGTATTGTACGAGGTCCGGGTCTTGATATTGGTGATTTACTAAGGTGGAAGATGCTTTTGGAGCAAGCTCATGGCAATTGGAAAGCTCAAGATGCAAGGAAGTTGATTCTCCAAGTTCTAGCTCTTGCGCTCTCAAGCCGTGTTCTCATTAAGATGGGGTGTTGAACCCATTGTCAAGTGCTTTTCGGGAATTTCACTCTTAGTGTTCATCATCATCATATTGCGCTTTCACTCGAAGACCTTAGCAAACGCACGAAGCCGCGAGAAGATTCGAAGAAACCCAGCAGAGCGCGGGCGTGCTGCCCTGCTGCGTAGGCGTGCAGTCCCCTTGCGCGAGCGCGCAGGCCTGTGATGTGTCTATTTTATATAGTATTTTACCCTCGTCCCTTGTCATAATTAGTAGTGTTTTTGGCTCTTTAGAGCCACTTTTATTACTAATTGGTGTTTTCTAGTGTTTTCGTAGATTTGGTTGACTTTTGCAGGGATTTGCACTTTTGAAGCATTCTCCCGAGATTTTATAGAGAAAATACAATCACTGGAGAAGCACAACCAGTTTTTATAGCCCAGGGCCAGTTAGAGCCATCGAACCGGTGATTAAGGGCTCGGTATGTGTGATACCGGGGCATTTGGACCGAGTATTCAAGACCCGAAAAGGAAACCCAGATTGGCCCAAAGAATTGGAGCCCAATCGTAGTCCAATTAGTGGCCCAAGAGAGCCGCCCGGCCAAAAAGTCTGGCGCCCGGAGGCGCGGCCGGCCGGGCGAGAGAAGCAAAGGTCGACGCCCGGTGACGCGCCCGGCCGGGTGCGAGAAGTGTACTGATGAGCAAAAAGGCGCGCCCGATCGGGTGGTGCCTCGCCCGATCAGGCGCGTATTATTATTAGGAGTTAATTTTGTCGTTTAACTTTGTTTTAGTTTAGGATTCGTACGGAGTATAAATACCTCTCCGTAAAACGATTTTAGAATTTTTTTTTACCTTCGCTTTTAGATTTTAGAATTTTTACTTAGCTTTTAGATTAGTTTCTTTCTCTTATACTTTTGTTCTCAACTTTATTCTTAATTCCAGATTTATTTTGGTAACTATTTCTCTTCTCTTAATCTTTGTTGTTTATTTTATTCTTTTTAT